AGGGAAACATTGAGAGAGCATAGGAAGAATAAATAGAACATGAAGAAAATATTTATGTGCGTTAACTTATTTCATTCACCCTCAAATATCTTTCATCAGTTTTTGTTTGTATAGCGGTCCTTCTGCATCCTGAGAAGTTTAGGGGGCTGGCTAACCCCAGCATAAACCTCGATAGACCTGGAGGTAGAAACCTGGACACAGGAGCTGATGCAGAGGCCATGAGGGAGTGTTGCTCACTGGCTTGCTCCTTGTGCTTTGCTCAGCCTACTCTCTTGTATATCCTAGGACCACATGCCCGGGGTGACACCATCTACAGTGGGCTAGGGCCTTCCACATCCATCATCAGTCATAAAGATGCCCTACAGGCCAGTCTTACGGACGTATTTCTTGATTAAGATTCCTTCTTCCCAGATGACTCACCTTGTGTCACGCTGACATAAAATTAGCCAGCACAACTGACAGCTTGTCAGCCTCACACACAAGCACACCACTTAGGCCACATCTTCTTCTCGTTGCTCTCTGGATATCGTGGTAATATAAATCTCACAACGTAAAAGCATTTCTACTTTTAAGAGTTCCGTGGTCTTTACAAATTCAACACGTTGAAAGTTCAGTTTCTTTAAAACATCAAATCTCTCTAAAACATCAGAATTCTCTCTAAAATATCCCCAATCTCTCTAAATATCCAAATGTTTGTAAAATTCCAAAATCTCTTAACTGTTAGCTCCTATAAACTGAAAATAAGTTCAATGCTTTTTATTACAAGAGGAAAGAAACCAGGCATAGTTCCAATCAGATTAGAGCAAAACCAAAGTCCAGCTATGCTGAGCTCGGTGTCAGACATCTGGAGCTTATGATCTTGGGCTTGGCAGCGGTCCTTCTCCAGCTCCGTCAGCCACTGCACATACAGCTTATGTCACAGGCTCAAGTTGGCTCTACACCACAGCTGCTACTGTCCCTGGTGGCCATCCCATCATCGTATTGGCATCTCCAGTCGCTGAGTTGTCCTGATGTGAATGGACTGCACCTTCACCAATAGCCTCTCCTGGGCTCTCCTTGGGGACTCTGACCCTGCCACATGGTGCCATGACTCAACTTTTCTTCATGACCCCTTCAATCCTCGGACTTCTCATGCAACTAAGGCTGTACCTTCACTAGTGACTCTCCTGGTCTTTAGGGACTCCAGTCCTGCCACACAGCATCAAGTCTCTGCTCTCAATGATTCTTCATGACTTCAAAACCAGTACCACAAACTCTTATACATTACCAAAGTTGGCTTTCAGTGTAAGATGCAGCCCCATCCAACTCTGGGCCACTGTCACTGTATGCTAACCTCGAGAAAATACTCACCAGAAGATTGCATCTACGTTGCTTCTCTCTCTCTCTCTCTCTCTTGATTGTTCAAGACAGGGTTTCTTTGTGTAGCCTTGGCTGTCCTGAAACTCACTCTGTAGAGCTTCAAACTCACAGAGATCCGCCTGCCTCTACATGGGATTAAAGGTGTGCGCTTTTAAAAGAGCTTGCTGGGCTCTTTTTACCCACCACTAATTTCTCAGCTCCTGTTGATCAGCATTGATTGCCGCAGAAAAGCAAAAACTTTGCTTTAGTAGTTCTTAATTCAAAATACCACCTAAATGGCATTGATAGAGTCGTTAAGGAACTTTAAAACTTCCCTCTGCAATTTCACATTCTAGGCCCCCATCATCTGCGTTGCCTTCAACCTTATTTTCCAGACTCCTATAGAGCAGCCCAGTGAGTTCTGAGCACTCAACAGCTTTTCCAGCCAAATTGCTGTGCTAAAACACCATGACCAAATGCAGTTTGGGGAAGAGCTTATTTCATCCCACACTTCTGCCCCACAGTCAGTCATCAAAGGAAGTCAGGGCAAGAACTGGAGGCAGAAACCTGGAGGCAGAGACCGCGGAGGAGTGCTGCTGACTAGCTTGCCCTTCATGGCTTGCTCAGTCTACTTTCTTACATACCCGAGGGCCACCTACTCAGGGGCAGTACTACCCACATCTCATATCAATCAAGACAATGCCCTACAAGTTTGTCTACATGCCAGTCATACTCTTATTAAGATTCCCTTTTCCTAGATAACTCTACTTGTGTCAAGTTGACAAAAAGTCCATCAGTACACACTGCCCAGCACTGTGACAGATATATCCCAGTAGAGATGAAGCTTCTAGATCAGAACCAGCTTGATACCTCCATGTGCTATGACTCAAATACATGGTGTGTACTTAACCTTCTCAGTGCTGGGAATGGGTCTTATCATCAAGGTCTAGGAGGTCACCAATAGCACTGGCCATAGCCTTAAATGACACTAAAATCCTTTTTAAAGAAGTCACTGGAAACTAATCTTCTACTGTAGAAGCTCCCATAGACAGACGAACAGACTGAAATGAAGTTGCTCTCTAACAAGACGGCAATGCCCTTACTGGGTACCACAGGCTAATAAATAAGGTGCTCAGTGCCAGGAATGGGTTACATCTTCTGGAGCTGTCAGTCACTGAGGCCCGCAGACCTCCAAACAGTACAGGCTGTCATTCATCTTCGCTTTCTACCAGCTAAATCCATAGGAAGAGCAAAATTATTTTTCTTATAAAGTTAGCCTATCCCAGGAATCTCCTTATTAATAAAAACAAACAAACAAAAGACAAAAGCAGGTCAATAGCGCCTCTTAACAGGCCTGTTTCTACCAGGGCCCTCTTACAGCCTCTCATCAGCGTCAGGGCTGGGGTATTCCTGTCACCACGCACTCTGTCAAAGTAAAGCTGGAATTCCTTGGATGGTCCACAGGTCCTGACGGAAGCAGCCCCTTCTCCGCCGCCTCTATGACAGCTTCTTGCATTCCTTCCTAGTTCTTGGTCCACTATGGGCCACAAAGACCTCCTTGCTGTTCTGGAAACCAAAGTAGCCATGTCTCTGTGCAGTTCAGGATTCCCCCTTATCTCTCTTAGTCCTTACATCCTAAGGAAGGCTGGCCTTGAAGTTATAGGAGGAAATGTGTCCCCTTCTAGAGTAAGGTGTTGACGTCTAGATCCTCCTCATTAGTGCCTCAGAATGAGACCGTGCTTGGGGATAAAGTTTAAAGAGGTGATTAAGTTTAGCTAGGTACCCAGCATGCAGGAGGCAGAGGCAGGCAGATCTCTGTGAGTTCGAGGCCAGCCTGGTCTACAGAGCTAGTACCAGGACAGCCAGGGCTACACAGAGAAACCCTGTATGGAAACTGCTCCCCTCCCCGGCAAAATAAAGTTCAGCTAGGCCCTAAATCAGCAAATGTTCCCAGAAGAAGGTGATGGTGACAGAACCAAAACAATGTCTACAAGTGAAGGAGAGAGGCCTCAAGAAGAAGCCAGGCCTGCTGCCATTTTGTCCTGTCTTAGGGTTTCTGTTGTTACAACAAACCACCACGACCTAAAAGCAAGTTGGGAGGAAAGGGTTTAATTGGTTTACTCTTCCACATCATAGTTCATCATCAAAGGAAGTCGGGACAGAACTCAAAAAGGGCAGGACCTGGAGACAGGAGCTGATGTAGAGGCCATGGAGGGGTGCTGCTTCCTGGCTTGTTCCCCATGGCTTGCTCACCCTGCTTTCTTACAGAACCCAGGACCTCCAGCCTAGGGAAGGCACCACCCACCATGGGCTGGGTCCTCCCCTTTCAACTACTAATTAAAAAAATGCCTTACAGATTTCCCCACAACCTGATCTTATGGAGGCATTTTCTCAATTGAAGTTCCTTCCCCTTAGATGACTTTAGTTTGTGTCAAGTTGACATAACCCTAGCCGGCACATCCTCTGACTTCTAACCTCCAGAAGAGCAGGGAGACACAATCCTGTCACTTTTTAAGCCACCCAAACAGTACTTTGCTGTGCCATCCTCACAGACCTGTATTCTGTTCTGCTCCTGGCCCTTCCTCCTGACCTCTGACCTCTGGGCCTGCCTGTGTCTTTGCTCCCCACATTATCCATCACCTTCAACACACTTCCTTGCTGAGGAAGGTGTTTATTGTTTGCAGTTTGGATCCCAAGAACACAATGCATCACAAGAGCTCTCTACAAGAGGCTGGATCTCTGCCTGCGTGTATGTATGTGCACCTTCTGAGTCCCTGCCTTTCCCTGGAACTGGAGTTACAGGCTGTTAAAGGTTCACCATGGGAGGGCTGAGAACTGAACCCAGTTCTCTCAAAGCAGCAAGTGCCTCTTCAGGGCTGGACTCCAGCTCCCCTGCCCATCCTGCTTTTCTTTGGCTCAGCATTCCAAACACCCCAGAAATATGTGACAGGTAGCCTGCGCTCAGCAACTCCCCTTTGAGTGGGTGGATGTTAAGACTCTGGGGTTTCTACCCTTATCGGTAGGCACCTATTTTCAGGGAGGCTGTGAATGATAGGGAAGCCATGATTTCAGTGTTGCCTGCAGGGGTAACATCATAAATGAAGGAGGAAGAAAATTTCTAAACTAGTTTTCTGTCTTACCATCTATCCCCTCATTGTCCACCCAAGTGACAGCCCTTCCCTTCCCATTAAGACTGAAAATCAGAGACTGCACCTGGGCTTTTCCCTCCCCTGAACAAAGCTCACACAGCCTTTCTCAGTGTCCTTGACACAACTCCTACACAAACAGCTCCACGTGCAGCCTACACGTACAGATATACAGCCTCTACCTATAGCTCCCATATATAGTGCGCTCTCTCCTGCCCTCTTCTACACACACACACACACACACACACACACACACACACACACACACGAGGTAGAGAGCTAACAGTATTCAGCTCACTTTTATTATGCACCCCTATTCTTCTCTCTTATTTGAGATTTGAAAACGGGGGATCTGACAACATGGTGGGCATCGATCCCAAGCTCCAAACTTATTTGTGTCTTTTTGTTGTTGCTCTGTGTACCCCGGGGAACTGGGCTGGGGGGTGTCACGAGCTGGGTTCACTTTGGGTATCTGCTTCCCCCATAGGCCGAGCCTGCACCTGACAGCGCTCTCACCTTGACAGAGACCCCTTTCCAGCAGCAGAAGGCATCGTAGGCGGCGCGCACGGCTGCGCGGGCCTCGGGCGCCCCGCAGTCGGCCACGGTGCCCAGTGTGGCGCCGTTGGCCGGGTCGTGTACCGGGAAGGTGGCGGGGGCCGGGAGCCAGCGGCCTCCCACGAAGCTGTCCCCGCGGAGTAGGTCGGCGGGGAGGCCAGCGGGGCCGCGGGCGTAGCTGCGACGCTGGGTTCCCGCGGGCGCCGGGCGGCGGCAGCGGCCGGAAGGCGGCAGCGCCGGACGAGCGGCCCAGAAACTCCGCAGCAGAAAGCAGGTCGCCATGGCCCCGCAGTGGCGGCGACAGAGGCAAGGGACAGGCAAGCGAGCGAGCAGGAGCTCAGGGGTCGCGGGAAAGCGGGAGCGCGCGGCAACAGGGACGCGCAGGGTGGCGGGGCTGGCGACGGGGACGGCCGCTGAGGGTGGCGGGGACGCCGAGAGCGCCCTCTCCCTGTGCTCCAGGAGCTGCGTGGTTCTGAACCGGCCTGTGCTCCCCGCGGGCCTGCTAGTAAAAATGAACTTGCACACATAAAGTCACCTTTCCGGGGGTCGGGTGCTCACTTGGCATTCTTAGGCCTTAACGGTGACAGGAGCCCCGGCAATATGTTAACCAAGGCTAACATAGAGGTTCCGCATGCCGCAGCTCTTGAACACTGGGACTGGGGACCACTATTCGATGAGGGGCGAAGTGTACTCGGTAATCCGTCCTTTGCATGCTTTTCTTCATATCCTTCTTCATGAATTCGAAGCAGGGTGCTCCTGAGTACTGAGATATGGGGCAAACCATTCAACTAGGGGCGGGTCGAAGAAGTGAGGCTCAGGCATTCCCCTTGCATGCTTTTTTGCATATTTCCTCTGGTGGATCTTTGCAAGTAGATTCGTATGCTGCATGTCCTAGCTGCTGTAGGTCAAGCAACTTGCAAGGCTGAAGTCTGGCCAACTAGTAAATGGAAACAATCAAGGCCCAGACATTTAACCCCAGGCTTTGAGGGGCAGAGGTGGGAGGTTCTCAGTGAGTTCAAGGTCAACCAGGGCTACGTAGTGAGACATTATTATTATTATTAGCAATAGGATGTGAGGATTGAACATAGCAAATCACCCCAAACAGCATCTTCATTCTCTGGATACATCTCAAACTTTACAGCAACAAGGAACCCCAAGTTAATTTGGATAAAAGAAATAGCTGGTCCATGCTCAGAATTTGGGGGTCAAATGCAACTCAATATTATTTTTAAATATTTATTTTATTTATTTAATATGTATACAATATTCTGTCTGTGTGTATGCCTGCAGGCCGGAAGAGGGCACCAGACCTCTTTACAGATGGTTATGAGCCACCATGTGGTTGCCGGGAATTGAACTCAGGACCTTTGGAAGAGCAGGCAATGCTCTTAACCTCTGAGCCATCTCTCCAGCCCCCCCCCCCGTTTTTATAAGTATTTCTTTTTTTTAAAAAAAAAATTTCGAGACAGGGTTTCTCTGTAGCTTTGGAGCCTGTCCTGGAACTAGCTCTTGTAGACCAGGCTGGTCTCGAACTCACAGAGATCCATCTGCCTCTGCCTCCCGAGTGCTGGGATTAAAGGCGTGCACCACCATCACCCCTGTGCGTTATTTTAAGATGCCAAGACTTAACATTTTCTCGTGTTCATGTTCAGTTACTGTAGATGGTATGAAAGTGTCTTGCTGGCCTTTCTAAAGCACGTAGGGTTTTCTCTTATTGATAAAAGGATAATAATTATTGAGAAAACGTGACTATGTACCCTAGTAGAAGGAAGACCTACATCTCGCAGCCTTCCTTCCTAGAGTTCTGGGGTTACAGGCAAGAGCTGCATGTCCCAGTTAGGGTACTGTATTTGCAAAATTCCTAGGATGTCCCTTTAACCGTGGACTTTGTCTTTTGCTGAGTCAGAGCCTTCTAGCTTTGTGCCAGTCAATATCTGGCGGAAGTCGTAAGAGCAGCATTTGATTGTGTGTGCAGGTGGTGTGCACATGCAGGTGCCTGTGTCTGTTTACTATTTTGTCCTCTATTTTGTTGAGGGGATTGGGAAGAGAAGTCAAGATAAGAAGGGCCTCGGTGGCTATCCCAATCTGGCGTTTTCGCCTGCTACCTATAGGGGGAGCTCTACTAACAGTCCATTCTACCTAGTATGGCTTTCCTTCAGACCAAGTCTTATTGGCTGGAGGCCCTAAACTTGAAATCAGCTGTGAATCTCACTTTCCAGTCCAGAATTTATTCTCTCTGTGTGTCTTTCTGTCTCTTTATCTCTCTGTCCCCCCCTCTCCCCCTCCCTCCTTCTTTCCCTTCCCCTCTCCCCTACTACCCCCCTTTCTAACTTAAAAACAAAGCAAAACAAATCAAAACCAGGATTTCATTCTGCAGCCAGAGTTGACCTCAGAGGCACCATGTAGCTCAGGCTGGCCTTGAACTCAGCAAATCCAAGTGCTGGGGTTCCAGGCATGTGTCACCACCCCTAACTTGAGAAGATGTCTGAAGCCCTTCCTATTCCCCTTCTCAGCTGGCTGGCCCTCCAGGCACCGCAGGAGTGATACCTAGGAGCCTACCACTCAGCGTCTCTCTCTTTTAAAGTGAGAAGGGAAAGGAAGCCCAATTTAGGTACAATCTTGCTGTATTAATCTTCCCACCAATGTTGCAGTAAAACTGCCATTTATTTACTTATTTGATGAAGGACAGAGTTCACCAAGACAACAGTCCCTATAGTCTGAGAAGTGGCATGTCCCATGTCCCATACTGTTTTGTGCACCCCTCCCTGCAAACTCCCTTTAGAGTGGGAACAATTCCCGCCAGCCTTCTGGCTTCCTTCCCTGGTGTCTCCCAGACCTTGGGTAGGTATGCTCACTAGGGCCCATAGGAGAAATTCACTGGGGGAGGGAGGATGGCTTCCCTTTTCTCCATATGCTCCTGGGAACCATTAGTTTCCAGTTCCTGGCTTTTAAAACATATTTATTTGTGTGGAGAAGGGGGAGGGTTGCCAGATTGGCTCTCTCCTTCTACCATTGGGTCTCAGGACTTGAACTTAGGTCCTCAGGCTTGGCAGCAGGTACCTTTGCCTGCTGAGCTGTCCCTAAGGCCTCAGTCCCTGGCTTTGTCCACTTCCCCAGCTGCTGTCCTGGTCCTGTAATGTCAGTGACATATTAGACTACGGGAGAAATGACATCTAAAGCTGGGTCTGGTGGCTCACACCTGCATCATGTGTAGAGGCAAGGAGACGGAGAATTCAAGGAAGGCCTGGGAAGATGGCCCATGGGTAAAAGTGCTTGCCTCCCAAGCCGAGTGACCCAAGTTCAATCTCCAGGACCACGTAAAGAAGTGGATGCAGTGCAGATATCTGCCAATCCCATCACTCCTGTGGCAAGACGGGAGGTGAGGACAGGAAGCACCAGTTAGCCTGGACCACTCAGAGAAGCAGACCCTGCCTCGAGGGACCCTACCTCAACAAGGGGTGTGCGTGCATGTGTGTATCTCTCTCTCTCTCTCTCTCTCTCTCTCTCTCTCTCTCTCTCTCTCTCTCTCTCTCTCTGTGTGTGTGTGTGTGTGTATGTGTGTGAGAGAGAGAGAGATATTCCTGAAACTTGTTGTCTGACCTCCACAGATATGCCTGCATTCACCCTCATTGGTACGCGCGCGCACATACACACACACTTAAAAAAACAAAAGAAATCAAGGTGTAACTCTGCTACATAGAGGGTTTGAAAGTAGCCTAAACTATATGTGTGCCTTATGAAAAATATTGTACCTCATTTATCTGCACATGAAGACCTGTTTTCATTTCAAAGGCTTCATCAAATTTTGCTTTATATCTGTATTTAAGTGTTTAGAAACAATCTTATACTGACTACCCTAGTCTAACACTGCATACCTAAGTGGGCTTGTGTTGTAGCTCAGTGGTAGGATATTTGCCCAGAACAAAGGAAGCTCCAGATTTGATCCCCTGTACTACAAAAAACAAACAAAACAGAAATCAACAAAGAAAAAGAATAGAAACCCATGGTGAATTTGAGGGGAATTTTTTTTCCCGGATAATAGTTGTGGACATATATTGCCCTTACTGTATACTAATCTTCATTAAACATGAATTGTATATTTCCTCATCCCATGCCCATGGTGGAAACTCTCCTTGTCTCTGAATCACAGAGACGCAGAAACATGTTTTGATAACTTGCACATGGTCTCTCACTGAGCCTATAACTCACTGATTTAATTAGGCTAGCTGACCAATGAACTTCCGGGATCTGCCTGCCTCTGCCTCCCCCGCACTGGGGTTACAGATGTGCGTCACTGTGCCTGGCTTTTACAGTATGGTGAGGATGGGAACTCGGGTCCTCATGCTTGTGATTGAGTGACAAACCATCTCCCAGCGTTTCAGATTGTTCTCTGGACACTGAGAACTATAGTTTAGCTTTCTCTTAAAGTCATAGCTTGAAGAGAAACATGCAATCCTGTTTTCATGGCTACAACATAACACAAACTTAATAAAAACTCAAAAAAAAATTCTCACATAACCATTGCATTGTACTAAGTGAAGATTTCCTTTTTTATTGCTTTAATAAATATAGTCATTCTAAACTTTAAATGTATAAAATTCACAAGAAATTTGAGATTAGTGTTGGTTAGTAATGGAAGCTACTTTTTTCTCTGGTGCTTTTGTGTGGCTTGGTTTTTGATATCTGCTTAGCCCTTTTAGGTAGGACTTTTCCCCCCTGGTGATCCTTGGCAGTTCTCTTTCTGCTATCTTTTTTGTTGTTTTAAGATTTTTACTGCATTTATTTACTTGTGTTTGTGAGTGGGGAATAGATTCTCACTTGGGGATTGAACTCAGGTCATCAGGCTTGGCAGCAAGTGCCTTCACACACTGCCATCTTGACAGCCCTTTGCTTTTCAGAAAGGGTCTCAGTGTAGTCCAGGTTAACCTCAAATTTCTATAAATCCCCGTCTCTGTCTTTAGAGTGCTGGGATTACAGTGTGAGCAACCACACCAGATTTTCTTTTGTTGATGGGCTACTCTTGGGTGCTCTACAGTATACTAAAGTCCTACTTTGCCATCACTGCCACCTCACCTGAAGACTTTAGGAGGCTCAGAGTGAGAGTGGGCGCCAACTCAGACTTCTGCAGGCAGAGTGGTCTGGGGGACATGCCCATACACACACAGAATGTGTGGATGGTTAGCACAAGAGGACGCTGAGGAGGGCATATTCATTGAAGGGACAACTGGCTTCCACTTCACTTGACTGTCATATGATGGAGGAATGTTGGTTCAGGAAGTCAGTTTTTTGGGGGGTTTTAGTTTGTTTTGTGTAGAGAACTAAAATTCTAGATTTATATGTGAATTCACTCACTTAAAAAAGTTAATCTGGCTAGGTATCCTGGCTCATACCTACAGTTCGAACACTGGGAGGTACAAGCAGGAGAATCTGGA